CGGCGCGGCGTAAGAGGGTCACAGGTTGCAGGAGGCCACAGGAGGTCTGGGAGCGCAATGACAGTTTCCCACAAGGCGGGTTCTCTGACCCTGCGGCCAGAGCGTTTTGCTGTCGCCTGCACCGTGGAACGCCCACCCTGCCATGCCGGGAGAGAGCAGCAACACTCACTCCACAGCCCCACTTTCTCCTCCTCCCCTGCCCTCCCGCCAATCAAGACACGGAGCTGTACTGGTTTGTGTGCTACGACACCCCTTCCACAAAGGCATCTGCCCGGGCTTCTGCCCGGGAGGAGGCGCTGCGGGTGGTGACGGGGTGGGGCTGGGGCGTGGAAGCCGCCGTGCACGCGACTCCGGACGCTGACCTGGCCCGCAACGCTCTGGGCGACAGGTGGGACATCTGGCCCGGGGCCGTCGCCGGCGCCGGCCTGGCCTTGACCCTGGCGGGGGATGCGCTGCACCCCATGACCCCCAACCTGGGTCAAGGGGCCTGCACCGCGCTGGAGGACGGCGTGGAGCTGGCGCGGGGCCTGGTGCGGGCCGGCTTCCGCGACGCCGGCTCCGGGGTGGAAAGGGCGGCGCGCTTCCGCGAGGCGGCGCGGGAGTACGAGGCGCAGCGCAGGCGGCGGACCCTGCCCCTCACGCTGCGCTCCAACCTGTTTGGCAAGATCCTGCAGGCGCCGGTGGGGGTGGTGGCCGCCGCCAGGGACGCGTTTGTGAGCCGGGCCTTCCAGCCCGCGCACTTCCTGTCCCATGCCAACTATGACTGTGGACGCCTGGAATGACATGGGGTTTTGTGATCTGAGGGTGGAGGGGTAACACGTAGCCGACTGAAGGCAGGGAGCCGAGGAAGCAGCTCAGGCAACATCGACCTCGGCGGATCCGCCCAGCAAGCCGGGGCCGGTTGCCAGAAATCTCTCGCATACGCCCCAAGGGAACACCGGCAAGACAGGAATGTGTCCAGGGAATCTATGTGCATTACCGGGCTCCGTAACCCATTACAGCGATCAAAAGTTTTGAATATCAGTGCACCCTGGTATCGGCCCGCCGCACTCGTCGGAGGAGCTCCTGGTACGTCTGCAGACTAGCCGCAGACCATGCAGGTGATCCAGAGCCATGCCAGCCGCACAGGCTCTGGCAACAACGCAAAGTGCGGACTTGCCGTCCATCGCTCCTCCCAAATACGGCCCGCACCAGGTGTGTTGATGGGGACTACTGAAACCTTGTCCCCCATGGACCAAGCCACAAACCCATCAATACACAATGCATGGCACGTCCTTTGCCCATGCTTCTCAACTTCACCCGTTCTTCTACCCCACAGATCCCTTGCACTGTGGTGCAAGACTGGGGCTGGCGTCTCAGCTCCCACACAGACGGTCGAGTGGCGCAAGGCCTCACACCCGCCGACAGCTCAGCAGGACCACCCTTGCAGCGGCAGCCACGACTGTGAGCGTGCGCATTGGCGTGCAGCGCGACGTGGGGTACGGCAGATCGGTGCGACTGGTGGGCGCTGGTCCCCGACTGGGTGACTGGAACCCGAGACAGGGTGTGGAGCTGGCATGGACGGATGGCAATGTGTGGACGACTGATCTGGATCTAGAACCTGGAACGGCCCTGGAGTTCAAGGTGGTGAAAGTTGGTGGCTTGAGGGAGTGAGAATGGATGAGCAAATGGAGGGTAGAAGGTGGTAAAGGACACATGGCACCCAGTCTTGCCATGTCTTGGGGTGTGTGGACTGGGCGGTCCTTCACACTATCTTGAGATGGTGTATCTCCCTTCGTCATTGCCAAGCAGGTGCGTTGATTGCCTGCGTTGAGTTCCCTTCTGACGCTTGCAGGCCGCTGCCTCACAACAGCCCTCCCTCAATCAAGCACACAGTTTGTCAGCATCTCCGGCTCCAATGTGGAATGGGAGTCGGGGTCCAACCACGTCGTCCCTGCCCCCGAGGCCGACGCTGCCGTGTCCTTGAACTGGGGAGCAGCCGAGGCTGTCGTGAAGAAGGCAGAGGCCGGTAGCCCCTTCGCCAGCAGCCCCGGTCCTGATCCAGGCACCCAGGGCCCCGCCAGCGACGATTCGCCGGTTCGTGCTCGCTGGAGTGGAAAGGAGCCGGTCTTCATGCAGGGGAACGAGCACAGCCGGGAGCGGCAGGGCCGGTGGGAGACGGAGGGCCTGGAGGGGGCGACGCTGGAGATCGTGAATGGCGATCGGGACGCGGGCAGCTGGCTGCAGAAGCTGGCAGTCGCAGAGAAGCTGCTGGTCCAATCTGCGCCGCGCCTGAGGCCGAGGCTGGACGCGGTGGCCGCCGCCTATGTGTACCTCCAGGTGAGACGTTTGTGGGTGCTTGGATGGGGGGGTCTGGGCTCCTGGATATCAAGTATATGAAGGAGGGGGCCGCCAAGTGGGCGTGCCCATCCTTGCATGCTGGCACGAGGAGGGTGGAGTCATCAGGGCAAGCAGGGTTGTCTGACACAAGACGCCACACCCAAAAGTCCCCTCCCTGGCTGGAATCGCAAGCAACAACCATCGAATTGAGAACTGATTGCGTTCTCTTCACAATAATCGCTCCCCTTAAACCCCTCCTCCCCCCCTTCAAATCATGCAGTGGGTTGGCAACGGGACCCTGGCCTGCGCGGAGAGTGGGGGCCATCACCGGCCCAACCACCATGCTGAGCTGGCGCGCAGCATGTTCCGGTCCCTGGAGTGGGTGCTTGCCGAGGGAGGGAAGGACGGCGAGGCCCAGGCCCTGGCCCTCCTGGCCCGCCGGCTGCAGGCCTACCTGCCCTCCTTCGACGCCGCCTACACCGCCTCCACCCCCCTCACGCGCATCAGGGACATTGCGCACAGGTATAGGATTGGGGGGAATTATGCTGCTCAGAGGGCGTGCTGGCAGCGAATGGATGCTAGGATCGTAATCAACACCACCTCCCTATCCCTCCCTCCTCCCTTACGCCGCAGGAACGACATCCCCCACGAGCTCAAGCAGGAGATCAAGCACACCATCCAAAACAAGCTGCACCGGAATGCGGGGCCGGAGGACCTGGTGGCCACTGAGGCCATGCTGCGGCGAATCACCCGCCACCCCGGCGAATACCCCGACGCCTTTGTGGGCGAGTTCCGGAGGTTCCACGCGGAGCTGAGTGATTTTTTCAGCGCTGGGTCGCTGACGGACAGCCTGGCCGCCCTGAGGCCCAGCCTAGGGGACGACCCCTCCGATATACAGGTGGGCTTTTGGTGGGCGGTTGGTTCTAGGTGGGAAGTCACCGCTGCTTGGTGCTGACAGGAGGAAACATGAGGTCAGAAGTTGCAGCCAATGCTCCTCCGCCCCACCTGGCCCTCCCTCGCCGCCGCCCATGCCCCACCACTCCCCAAATACCCAGATCGTGGAGCGTTTCCTGGAAGCCAAGCGGAAGCTGGAGGCAGCGGGCAGCAGCGCCGACATGAACGACGTGGTTGACACGTTGCACACGCTGGGCACGCTGCGCGCGCTGCTCTGTTCCCGCCTCTCCTCAGGCCTGCGCAACGACGTGGGCGACGGCGTGCTCGCCGGGCGTCAGAGGCGAGTCCATGCACACGTGGTTCGGGGGGCTGAGCTTGCCGGGAGCCGGCATGCTGGCATGCAGGCCTGGCGTTCCTTGCCGTCACGGAGCGCCCGCTGGTGCATGGTGTCGCAGACACAGCCCCCTGCCCCGTCTCCATGCCCAGGTGGCGGCAGGCCGAGATCCAGGCGGAGGACTATGCATTCGTCCTGCTTTCTCGCTTCAGCAACCTCCTCGAAAGCCAGGTGGGGTGGGTGCGGTGGGGCAGGGCAGGACCTGGAGGGTCAGGCTTGTGGGCGGGGACCTTTCCCGCCGTCAAGAAAACCCCAACCTCTTCGCAGCGGCTTGAGGAGTCCGCAATGGCAGAGTAGTTCATATTGTTGTTCTCCACGTGTCTGTTGCAGCATGCTCTGCCTTCTGTTGTTCGAATCTGACAAAAGCGCCCCTCCACACACAATGCGAAAGGGCGGTGCCGAATCACTCGTCCAAGGAAAGGACGGCGGCTGGGCGCTGCCCCTTGGCTCCCTGGTCCTCGGCCTCCGCCAGGTGGGCCTGGGCGCCGGGTCGGGGCTGGCGCGCGAGTGCGCTGCCCTGGAGCAGGAGCTCGCCACCTGGCAGCGGCTAGGCGGGTTTGGGGAGCGCGACAATGCCCTCAGGTGGGTGCTTGGGAGGGGGGGGTTGGGGGCCGGCGAGGCTTTGGTGGGAGGTGCACGTGAGACCTTGGGAGTATACTGCCTGAGTGCCAGGAATGTTTGGAGCTATTTTGGGCTGACTCTACGGCCCGCATTTCCCGCAAGCGTGCATGAGCATGCATACCGCCAGCTTCCATGCTCCGTCACTCTACCTTCAGGCTCAAGGCTTCCCTGCAGCGCCTGCGCCGGCTGACGCATGACTTCAGCCAGATCCTGATGGACTCGCTGTCGGAGCGCGCGCAGAAGCTGGGGGATGCGCTGGGGGTGTCGGGCGACATCAGCTCAGGTGCAGGGGGGTGGGGTGGGGTCCGACAAAACGGTGCAGAGAATCTCCAGGCCTGAGGAGGAGGGGACGGGCCGAAGTTGGCCGTGAGCACATGCAGCGTTAGGGTTCCTTGCCATGATACCTTGCTGCAATTCCCAACCTTGATGCCATGGATCATTTTGCACAGCTTCCTGCACACCCTTTGTCTGCCTATGCACACCATAGCCCTCATCCCCACTACCCGCAGTGTTCACGGAGGCTGAGATCCGTGCCAGTGTGGTTTTCCAGCTCTCTAAGCTGGCGGCGACGCTGCTCAAGGGCACCGAGCTGGTGGCTGGCGGCTCGCCCTTTGACGTGGTGGTGGGCGGGGAAGCTTCTGGGAAGCTGCAGGAGGTGGATGCCCTGCAGCCCGGCTGCGCCGGTGTCGAGGTGGGTGCTGCGATCGTTTAGGGTTCAGGCTACGGGCCCAGCTTGATTGCCAAACCACCACACACCCTGGATCCTGGGCCTCGCAGCCCTCATCAACGGGGAGGGAATCAGGCAAGCACGATGACCAACCATTACTCCTCTGCGCATCTCACCGGGCCTCCTCCCACCACAGGCCTGCGTGCTGGTGGTGAGATCTGCCACCGGGGACGAAGAGGTGGGGGCCCTGGGTCCAAACCTCCGCGGCATCATCCTGCGCCACGACATCCCACACCTCTCCCACCTAGGTGTGCATGTGTGTGCTTGGGGGGTGATGTCCCCTTTGGAGGGGACGAGGCCGTCTATTGACTCAACCAGCCGCCTGTGTGACATCAGGAGAGTGTGGCTTTTGCCCCCCCCCCCGCCCCGCGTTCAATAAGCCGGCAGCAGCGCTGTGCCTGTGCCTGTCTCTGGTCGCCAGGCACATGGTAGGAATCTACCATCAGAACATCAAACCTCTGCACCATCCCCATGGCCCCCCGTTGTCACACTCATCAGGGGTGCGGGCTCGCCAGGAGCAGGTGCCCTTTGTGCTGGTGGAGGACGACGCTTTCTTTGAGGAAAGCATCGCGCCGCTGCTGGGCAAACACGTGACACTGAGCTCGGTGTCGGACGCCACCACTCTGACGTCTGGCGCGGCTGACGCGCCCGGTCTTACAGGCAAGGCTTCCAGGGGACGCCCCGAAGCCGGCGCGCCAAGTTGGAAGGGGGAGGCGCCACGCCGCATCTCCAAGCTCTCCGCCTCGGCAGCCGTTGTTCCCCTGGCTGAGGTGGAGGCAGGAAGCTGCGGCTCCAAGGCCGCTGCCTGCAGCCGGCTCTCGCGCCTGGCCGTCGACTCCAAAGGAAACAGCGGCAGCGAGTTTGCGGCGCCCCCGGGTGTCGTCCTGCCCTTTGGCACGATGGAACTCGCCCTCGAGGTAAGGTATCAGGAGGGTGGTGCTGGCAGGGAAGCTCTGGCGGTGTATAGTGGCGGACAGGTCAGGAATGGCACTGATGCATTTGGCGAGCAAGGGCTTCTGACCAAAAACCCATGAGACCCGTCTATATGTACTGGGCAACGCATGCCATACCGCCCAGCAACGAATGGAGACCTGCAGCTGAGCTGACGGGATGTTCCCTCTCACCCCTCACTCATCAGGCTGGCGGCCACGCATCGGCTTTCCGAGACCTCCTCAGCCAGTTGGATGATATGCTGCGGGAGCCCGAGGACGACCCTCGCAATGCCCGGCTGGCGCGGCTCTGTGAGGAGGTCCAGGGCCTGATCCTGAACAGCAGCAAGCTGCCAGATGAGGTGCGGAGGTCGGTAGGAAGGAGAAGAGTGGGTGAGTATCGGTGCCTGGCTCTCTGCCACCTTGAAGAGGCGACACCAGGCTCATTCCTCCGCCCTCTCTGCTCTGCAGGTCATCAAGGCACTGCAGGACTCCCTGCCTGCAGACTCACCTGTCATTGCCCGGTCCTCTGCAAACGTGGAGGACTTGGCAGGCCTCTCAGGTTGCTGGTGGAGGGTGCAGGAGGAAGCACTCCCCTGGCTCAACATACTGCAGCATTAGAGGTGCCAAACACAGTTTTAATGCGAGCTGCCCACTTCAGCCACACCTCACCATCCAACTCTTTCCCCCTCTCCACTCCTCCAGGTGCCGGCCTCTACGACTCCATCCCCGGGATTGACCCGAGCAGTGCCACATCGCTGCAGCGTGGCATAGCCCTGGTCTGGGCCTCCCTGTTCAGCAGGAGGGCGGTGCTCAGCCGCGGCGCTGGGGGTGAGTGGCTCTGTGTGCTCCGCCGGCACAGCCTCGGCCACCCTGGAGCTCTGTCTGCATGCTGCTCGTTGACAATTTGGGAAGCGCAGGGACTGTGCTGGGTCGCCCACGCCTCCGACGCCGTTTGCCAAAGCAAGGCCTTCCGAAGCCCCACAACCCCCTTCACCCGCCTGCGCAGGCATCCCCTCCCAGGCCGCAGCGATGGCGGTCCTGCTCCAGCCCCAGCTCTGCCCCGACCTCTCCTTTGTGCTGCACACCGCCCATCCGGTCACCCGCGACGCCGGGGTCATGTGGGCCGAGGTGGCCCCGGGCCAGGGCGAGATCCTGGCCACGGGGTCACGCGGTGCCGCCTGGCGCATGGAAATCGGCAAGGCCGGCGACACGCTGCGCATGCTTTCTTTCGCCAACTTCAGCACCGCGTGGCTGGTGGCGCGGGGCACGGGAAAGGGTGGCGTGGCCACCCTCGCTCCCACCACTGTCGACTACAGCTCGCAGGCCCTGTCAGGTGCGGGTGACAGCTGTGTGCAGGTGCCGGCCTCCAGGGAGAGGACCGTATGGGAGGGTTGTGATGCACTCCCCTGACCGATGGTGTGTTACAGCACGACAGCCGTGAGCACGGAAGGACATGCTCATTTGCAGGCTCCGAGGAGGCCCGGGCGCAGCTCTCCCGGCGGCTGCTGGGCGTGGGCGCCGCCTTGGAGGCGGAGATGGGCGGTGCACAGGATGTGGAGGGCTGCATCGCAGCCGGGCAGCTCTACATCGTCCAGACCCGGCCCCAGCCATGATGGTGAATGCCTGGAGGCCGGTGCAGGAGCAAAGCTGTGCGATTTCAACAGGCCCATCAACTGGAACGTCGGATGTGCAGCGCACCCGGTTGCCATCAAGTTGCTCTGTGAGAATCGACGCCGCTACCAACATGCTGCTTTGTGTATGCCATTCCTTCTTGGCTTGTGCTCCTGTCCTGTGATCGCAGGAGCCTCTTCACTCCGCTGCAGCTGCCGTGGCGCTGGCCTTGACCACCCTCCCCACAATGGGGTACTTGGAATAGAACTGGGCCTGCCAATCCCGCAGGGTGTCCAGCTCCGAGAGCGTGCAGTCCGCCAGTTCATCATTGCAGTCTGCAAGCAGGAGAGGGCGAAGAAAAGGATGATCAATCGATGAATGGAGGTTGGGACAGCGGCAGAGGCCAAGAACCCTCGCCCTCGGCTATCCAGAGGTTCATGAGGTCACTTGCATCAGCCAACTTCCATCTGGGCACAGCCAGTGCTAGTGTCCTCACCATCAATCTCTGTTGAGAACTTTGCCAGCGCCCGTGCACATTCCCGGCCCCCAAAGGGGTAAGCCCCGTCAGGGCCATAGAACTGACTCCCTGTCGGAGCAGGGGGAACAGGGGATTGTGGGGATGGGCAGGAATGGATTGTTGGGCAAGCGCACGCTCAGCTGGCCCATGGGGGTGCAAGTGACTTGAGGCACTCACAGCCATAGTTGGCCACCTCAACAGCATACCTCTAGTGACATCAAAGATGACACCCTTGATGGCAAGGTAAATGGGAGCAGGGTTTGTCTCCCCGTCATATGCAGCCAGCTGCTCTAGTGTCAGACTCAAATCGGGGACGACCTGGGTGAGGATGCGAGAAATGTGGAGTAATTGGTCAGTGACCTTGCCTGCCATTTGGCCAAGGTACAAAGCGAGGGTGCACCGCCCTGCTCCCCTGCCGCGCCATGCATGATGCCCGTCTCACAGAGACAGCTCCTCTCCTATTGATTATTCCCGGCCTGATCAAACTGCTCCCAAACTCCAATGTTGAGCTCGGACCCCACAAACTCCACCATACCTTTCCCACGACTTCATATTTTTGGTCAAACTTGTCAACCCATTCCTGCAGCGTCTTCTCCTCCTTCTCGGTGAAGTCTGAGGTGTCAGCGCTGCAATGGTCTGCTGTAATCTGCATCTTCCCTAAAGCCCTCGCCACTTCCCGCCCTGCAAACACACTGTAGCCGCCGCCTGTGCATGGCAGGTGTGTTGGGCATGAATTTGTGAGCAGGAACCGCCAGTTGACGGCTCAGTGATCCCATTGGAAAGAATGTATGCCTTTTCATCCTGCCGTGAGGCCTGTTGAGTCTGCTTCGATGATGACAGATGCACCTCCAACTCCCCCAGGCCCCAACTCAGGCCAGCCGGAACAACAAGGCTCTCGACAAACACGCTGGCGCCCTCCAGGCTCACCTGGTCCGTAGAAGTTGGCCTTGGCGGACACATCGTAGATCCGGCCTCGCACCGCCAGGAGGATGGGGAGATAGGGATCCTGGCCAGAGTACTTGCTCAGCTCCTCCAGCGTGACGTCGCCCACTTGGAAGGAGCGCTTCACCGCGACCAGCTTGCGAGGGAAGAAGAACTGGAACACGACCCTCAGGATTGTGAATATCATCCAGGAGAATATCGCCACGAAGGCTATGGCACATATGGACGAGAATATCGTGAAAACCATTGTGGCCGCTGCGCTCCACCAGCAATTCGGGAAAAGGGAGCTGGGGGAACCAGGTAGACAGAGGACATGCACTGGAAGCAGACAGGAAGAGATCAACGACTTGCTTGTCTGGGCGATGCCGTTTCACCTCGAGGTGCCCACACGGGAATGAACCCGTGCATCCGTGCACTGGTTTTCGGCGCTTCAGACTCCCCGCCCACGCGATTTAAAATGGGATCTGGGGCGTTGAGATATCTGCCCAGATACAGCATCGGCTCTCTGCACCTCCTTGGGACCTCCCAAGAATAAGTAATTATGCATACAGTATGTAATCAGGTCATGCATTCTCATTGTCATCCTCATCCAAGACCGGCGGGTCCCTCCGCTGTGATGCGTTCTGCACGAGCTGATCCCTGAGGGCTGCATCGATTTCTTCGCATGCGCCCATCGCCAGCTCAACAGCATCTCTTAGCTCGTCCTTGGACCACACCCCGTGCGATGTCAGCGATGTGATCTGCAGAATGGAGGGAACTCGTCGCTTGCGCCAGACCTTTTGCAAGGCAGTGGGAACCACGGCAAACCTTCGCTATGCCGCACCCGCCCACCTGGTTGAGGCAGGGCATGAAAGACAGCACCAGCCCTGCTTCTTCCCGGTACTCCTCCTCCGCCGTTGGATCCAGCAATTGGATGCCCTGCACCCTGCTCTGCAACGTGTGCGTTTGAGAGGAAGGAGGCTCAGGGGGGTGGCTTGCAGAACACCACCGACACGGGCACGGACAGGGTCTCCAACCAGGCCCAATGCCAACTGTCCACGATGAGCGGCGTCTTTTGAGCCTCCTCACCACGGACGCAGCAGAAACCAGATCTCTCAGCTCTATGCTGGCATCCGCGAGGGCCAGGGTGGCTGCGGCGATGACGGCCGCGAGGACGGAGCCGCCGGCCTCCAGCACCAGGCATTGCACATCCAGGACTGCCTTTGGGAAGGTGTGCAGGAGGACGGAGGCAGACAGGGCCGTTTCCAGCTGGGCAGACAGCTCCTTCTCCAGCTGGGTCTGGATGGGGCGCCCTCTCTGCCGCGTTGCAAAGGTCGCGAGCCGCACGTCGCAGTCCAGGGAACCCTGCTCGCTGTACTTCATCCACCGATCGGACTGGCGCGGGCCGTACACGCCCACCATCACTTTTGTGCTGCCCAGCTCCACGTAGGACGATCCAGACGCCTGGCTGATGGTCCCGCAGTTTAAGACTGTGATGGACCGTGAATGTGGAGGGTGAGACCATCACACGCACTCTCAAACAATGGCATGGTCTGCCACGGCACCTCTCAGGTCACAATTACCCCTGTAAAAAGCTTACATAGTGTCCGAAACTCCTCATTGTCGCGCCCATCCAGTCGCTTTCCATCAGCGATAACCTCCGCCGGCCGGTCATGTCTGAAGAATGGCACGCTGCTATTCGTGAAGGCCATGATGCATGGGCTGATACTATGCTCCAATGAACGACAAGAATAATATCATGACTCGCCGAAGCGTGGGTTTTGTGACCAGACTTGTGCCTTGCAGCGATGGCGTATTCCGACCTTGCTCGTCTGCAACCCACCCGCATGCGTGCGGGCCATGCTGAGAGATAGCCCCCCGTGGGAGGACAGGGCAAAAGGCGTGGTTCTGATTCCTTGAGGCCGAATGATTAGTACTTCGATTGTAGGAGGGCATGCTGATGTGAACGGAAGCCTCTTCATCTCTTAAGACACCGAGATCCTCACACAACTGGGGTTGGGATGGGCATTTGCAATCTCCCAGACAAGCATCCACATCTGGCCGTGGAATTTTCGATAATGAATGATCTTATCAGCAAAGTGATAGCTCTGTCGCTAGCTGTCTGTAAGCGACGGCTCTGTTACTTCTGCATGGCATGCGTTGCAGAGTCCCCTGGTGGCACACGGCATTTCACAACAAAATTCGAAAAGGGTCCGACATACAAACCAAATTGAGAATCAACAACCTATAAAAATTCCACTTTTATGAAAAGCGCGGCAATGAAAGCGGTGCACGTTTGGAGGTTGGGCAATCGATCAGGATCTCCTGCGACTCTCCGGGACTGTCCGAGATCCAACGAAACCGCGTCCCATGCCCGCCTCGAAACCCACATATCATCTGCCGGGCAGTGAATGTCTCTACCACGTTCTACTTATACCCGCTTGAATCCGAGACCAAGCAATACTGTGCCCAACAAATCGACTGAGCCTCCCGTACCCTCAGCTGCCGCAAGTTTGAAGGGTACAACTTCCATGGCTCGGACTCGGGCGGCATGGGCCAGCAAGACGCTGTCTTTCATGCTTGCAATGGCTGCAGCGACCCACTTTGCAGCTGCTGGTAATCATGGGTCTCATGCAGTACAAATCGGCTTCCCTTCGTAGTGTCCCAGCCCCTGTGTGTTTATCTCCTGACCGAGATCCTCCATGCTCCGGCCGTGCAGATGAGTGTGTGCCTTACCAGCTCCCCGATGGCTACACCAGTTTTCAAAAGTACTGCCAGTACCTTCAGACCATCGATGACGAGTGAGTGTCAGGGATGAGGTAGAGGAGCTGGTTGGGTCCGTCCCGTGTCGGCCACCGAGGATGCTGAATATCGAGAAGCCAGAGCAGCTTTGGATATGCTACGAGCTCCCGACCTGGTATATTACAAACAAACAATGTGCCATTGTAAACCTGTTCCCATGCTTGCAGTCAGGTGATCGAGCAATATGCAAGTGCCCCGGATCCGAAGTCAGGGGATGCCTTCCCCCTGCATGGCGCGGTTCTGGGCTGCATTGCGGGAGCCTCAGGTGCCAACAGAGCCAACTCCCTGGGCTTGGGGCGCTGGTCGGGCAAAGATTTCGGGTGAGTGGATTGTACCGAGTGTGAACGACGTGTTTGTCCCTGGCTGCTTGCAGGTGGACGTATCTCCTTGACATAGGAGTCCCAAGCCTCTGCCATCATTACAAATGCCAAAATACACTTGGTACCTTCCTCCTCCACACTCAGGACCCTGGACACCTCCACTGGCCTCATTCCAGTCCAAAACATCGTGGATAATTCCGTGGGACTGGGCGGCTCTGTTGTGAACGCCGGCGTCTGGGCCAATGGACTGTCCACCCAGGATCAGTTCCCAGGCACCATTGGTGTCGGACAGGCTTGGTGCGTTGAGGAAGCGTATTGAAGGGGAGCGGGAGCAGTTCGTCTGGTCTCAGAGCCCCTTCACGTGAAGCAGAATCATCCAAATGTCTCTGTCTCTCCGATCTCTGACCCAGCTGTTTATCAGTTTCTCATGCCCATCTTACCTAGTCATCCCCATGTCAGCCAGAGGCCTCGACCCATCCCCCCTGCAGGAGCGACCGCGATCGTGAGGCATGGATCCTGAACTACAACTCGGTCCAGACGGGAGCAGGAATCCTGAATGGGCTCATCGCCAACACCCGCGATGAGCTTCGCCAGGTGATGATGACACTCCCTGCGCAGTTTCACTCCATCAAATTGACATCAGGCAACAATTGCAGTCCGTTTCACTGCCAGTCCTTTACTCTGCTTCATTCATTCAGCTCCATTCTGTGACCCCAAACCCTCGCAGGTCGGCCCTGGGGTCATGATCGGGAGGACCTACGCCAAACCCTTTTCCAGCGCCAACCCCCTGCCAGTCCCTGTGAACGAGGGGGCGGCGTTCTACCTGTTCCAGGTGTGGTGGCGTGTGCTTGTGTTGGCAGAGAATAGCCCTTATAACCTCATCAAGCCAGTTTTCAGACGCTGCTACCACCTCCTGTCCTCCCCTACAGGTGTGCGATGCCAGCGGCGGCTACCCCGCCAACCCCAACGACCGCGCCTTGTCCTGACCCAACACCTGGTTGATTGAGACTCTCCCGCTCACATCCTGATGCTGATGTGCATGTGACAACCAGCCATCGGCCGCATGCACCTTCCCATGCTCCCCCCGTCGATCAATTGTAATCGCTGGACTGGCCCTCAGGGCTACGCTCCAGGGTCCAGAGGAACACGGCCCCGTCGGCCCCCGCGCTGACCAGGCCCTCGGGGCACCCCGCCAGGCCGCTAACCGCCGCCCGCCGCCGGGATCGCGCGCCGTGTGCCCGCTCCTCCCTCAGCACCAGCGGCGCGGACGGCAGGCCGGGATCAAACATGCGCAGGTCGCCATCCGCGTACCCGGCCGCCACCCAGCCGCCGGCCAGGCGCGTCAGCGCCGTCACCGCCCCGGCCTTCTTGTGCGCCGCCTGCCACAGCAGCGCGGGCGGTGCCCCCGCCCCCACAGCCGCCGGCTGAGCGGCGGCGCCGCTCAGCCGCCGTAGGTCCAGGGCCACTACCGCGCCGCCCACCGTGCCCGCCGCCAGGCTCCAGAGCCCCGAACTCGGGCCCAGCAGGCGCGTGACACCGTCGCCGGGGGTGGTCGGGTGGAGGCGCGCCACGGCGCTGCAGGCACGCGAATCCCACAGCACCAGGTTTCCGGACGCATCCTCCCCGCCCACCGCCAGGACGGCCTCGTCGATGTATGTCACCGCCCGCCCCTTCCGGGCCAGGCACTGCAGGTTGTTGTGGGGTTGGGTGGGGAGAGGCAGGGTCGGTGACGTGCAGGGCTTTGGTGAGGATCCCGGGAAACCTGGGAGCGAAGGAAGAGCTGGACAGTGGAGACTTTGTCCTCCACGCACTTCTACATCTCTGTCCTCGTGGCAGTCTGCCAGCAATCATGTCCCTTTCCTGAACCACTCGAGCATCAGATGACAGCAGCGAAATAAGCCTCCTCTCCTGCACACAGCACTCATTATCCACCCTCCCTTCCTGCCCACCTCCCACCCCCTACACCCCTCTTCTCCTCACCTGGTGCCACCACTCGGCGCAGGCGTGGCCGTCGGCATCCACACCCTTGGGCCGGCCCAGGCGCCAGGTGGCGACCACGCCGCCCTCACCCACCGCGGCAAAGGCGTCGGCGGCGGGGGACCATGCCAGGTCCTGGCAGCAGCCCCAGCCCCCCAGCTGGCTGGTCAGCGAGCCGGAGAAGAGGCGGGAGCCCATGGAGAGGAGGGAACCAGAACCCCAGGAGGCCAGGTCGGGCGGGGGGAGGGGGGTGAAAGAGGCCAAGGCCTCGCGCTCGCCAAACTGCCAGAGGTGCACGAAGCCGTGCCCATCCGCGCTCAAGAAGCTGGCAGGAAGGGGGGTTTGTGGGGTTGAGGGGGTGGATTGGACTGGAACGTGAGGACGTCTACTGATTCAAGGCTGCAAAAGGAGGGTGCATTTGTGTTGAGGTGCATGCACCTCCACCATACCCTCACGGCACTTCCCAGCGAACGCTCCGCGAGGCGCACCCCACAGGGCCCCTGAAACCCAGGACCTGATTCCCACGCTCAATCCCAGGGACTCACAACTGGCGGGTGGGGTGGGCGCAGAGGGCGCTGGCGTGCATGCTGCCCAGCTCCGGCAGGCCGTCGATGTGGCCGCGGGCCGGTGGCGTGTGGGGGCTGGTGGGCCCGCCGACGAAGCCCCCAAACCCAAGATCGGACTCGGCCATCGTGCTGGATCCCCACTTCTCGCTTTCCTCCCAGCTGTGAAGGAAGTTGGGGGGAAGGTTGGCTCTGGAGGTTGACACCTGCAGGTGTAGGCCATGCAGCTGGCTGCCAAGGGAGGTTGCACCTCGAGGCGGCATGCAGCGGTGGTTTCACCACCGCAAGTCACACCATACATGAGAGAGTGCACGCAGAAGGCATGATGCAACTTCACTCGTTGCAAGGCGATGCATCAAGGTCGATCCATCTTTGACCAGCATCGCGCTGCCTCCCCCCCCTCTCCTCCAGCACCCCCCACCTGGCCTGGTCGAAGATGTGGGAGATGATGCGCGAAAAGATGCCGCCCTGCGCCGCTGGCGCCTGAAAGCCGCCGACGTCGGGGGTGGAGACCGGGGTCTCCGGCCTGGACCCGGCCTCGGCCGCGCCCCTGTGCGCCGCGCTTTCCAGGGGAATGACGTCACTGGCCACGAGACCGTGGCGGTGGGTGGACACCACGAGAGCCCTGCCCCCCAACTCGTCAGGGGAGGTCAGCGAGCACAGCGCCAGCGCCCCGCACCGGTCGCCGTCCACACAGACAATGGGCTGCCTGCGATGGCGGAGGGTGAGGAAGTGGTGAGCAACACGTGCTTCAACTTCTTGAATAGGGGAAGGGTGGTGATTCTGACAGTCAAGTCGAGGCGTGCCAGGTGAGGGCAACCAGGAAGAGATTGGGGAAGCCGGGGCCCAAGTCAGGGGCCTCTCGGTAAGGGGTTGCTGATGCCATCAGACTCGACACTGTCCGCACCCTCACAAACCAGACCCTGTGCAACACAGAGCGCTCCATCGCCTTCAAAACTGGCCCCTACAACTTCCATTTCACCCCCCCTCCTCCCACTCCAAAACAAAATACACAAACCTCACCCCCCAGCACCCACCTCTTCAGCTCCCAGGCCGCCGCTGCCGTGCCCTCCCCCCCGCCCCGCGAGGAGGAGCTGACTCTGGAAAGCGCGCCCAGCCCCAGCGTGCTGCAGCTGCTGTCCCGCTCCGACCCCAGCCGCTCGGGCAGGGCCTCCGGCGCAAACGCCATCTCCTCGGCATCCAGTGCCGCGCACATCCCGGCGGCGGCGGCCGCGACGGCCCCCGCGTCCAGCGGCCACCTTGCCTCCGCCGCGGCGGCCAGGGCGCACTCAGCAAACGCCGCTGAGGTGTCATTACTTGAAGGGACCACGGCCTCATCAGACCGTGTGAGGCCCACCAGGGCGCTGGCGGCCAGGCGGGCGAGAAACGGCGTGAGAGGGTCAAGTGTTTTACTTAGTCCAGTCTCTTCGCCCTCCTTCGCGGCCGGGCCGATCGCGATGGCCGCGGCGGCGGAGCCCAGTGCCAACAGCGGCAACCGCGCCGCGTCCAGACTTGTGGCGGCCGCGGTCAGCGCCCCACGCAGTTGCTGGGCCAGGAGGGTCGCGTGGTCGGCATCATCGATGGCATCGCCATCACGTTCACGTTTGACATCATACACAGCAGCCTCCACACCCACAATGTGCGGGAGCAGGGCGGCGGCGAGGGCGGGGAGCTGCGCGGCAGCCAGGGCGCCGCCCCTCTCCCAGCGCACACGCCAGCACAGCGCGCAAAGCAGACCGGCATCGTCGCCCAGCAGCGCCGCGCGGGCTGCCGCCCCCCAGCCCCAGTCTTCCAGGTGATGTGGGGCTGCGGGTGCATTGGGTCCACTCGCGTGGTCCTGGGAATGGTGCTCGGGTTGGTGTAGGCTCATGTGGCGGTCCAGGAGGCGGGATGGGCCGGGCGGCGGCCGCCCGGCGGGAGCGGCGCCATCGCTGCCAGCTCCGAGGCTGCGCCCCTTCACCACGCCGCCGCCCTTCCCTCCCATCACCAGCACGACGATGCGCCGTATGAAGAGCGCCAGTTGCAGGTCGCTCAGCTCGCGCACGCACACGTCTAGCGCATCACTCACGTGGCCGCCCAGGAGGAAGAAGGCCGCCGCGAGGGAGAAGCGGTGCTGGCCCAGCAGGACGAATGCGTTCTTGGCGGCGGACTGCGCGTTGGCGGGCAGGCCAAAGTCCCGCCCCAGGAAATCGGCCTGCTTGCGCGCGTTGGTGGTGCGGTACAGGCCCTGTTTTGCGGTGTGTGGGGAGGGTTGGGGATTGGGAGGGCTCGCTGAGACTGCGTTCTTGCAGGCAGGAGCGAACTCCAAGAATTAAAAGGGACTCGAGAAGCACAGCTGCATCGCATGGGGCTGACTGAGAGACCCACACCCCACACACAGGTGCCGCACCTGCAGCGTCGCCTTCTTGCCCAGGGCGACGTACAGCAGGGCGCACGCGTCCGGCTTCCGCGCCGCGGCGAACTGGGCCTTGGCCAGCTTCTCGCCGACATCCAGCACCAGCCCCGGGTCGCGCAGCCAGAAGCCGGCCCCGGCAGCCCTCAGGGCCTCCCAGGTCGGCGGCTGGGCATGCCCGGCGTCGGCCCTCGTTCCCAAGAAGCTCGGGGCGGCGCTGGGGCCGGATTCGGACGCTGCTGTGCTGCCATCGACTGCTGCAGCCAGGCTCGGCAGCGCCTCCTCCAGCAGCACCTCCTGGGTACCTGTGGTGTGAGTGGAGTTTGAATTTGAGCTTCTCTTGCCCAGCCACCTTGCACCCACTGACCTGTGTGCAAGTCACAGGCTGCCAGGCCAGGGCAGGGTTTGAACATAGAAAAAGCACACGCTACAGACACCCCGTGCTCAAACAGTCACCTCCAACACCCACCTGACATGAGTGCCCAGACCACCGCCTCCAGACCCAGGCCGGAGTGAAGCTGCAGGGAAGCTGCCAGCCCGCCCTGTGGCATGCCGTGGTGGCCCGCCGCACGTGCTAGGTCCAGGAAGGCCCTGCCCGCCGGGTCGAGGCGGGCATGCCCTGCGGAATCGCTGGCAGCCAGGACCCTCGCCAAAGCCCCGCCGCCATTGCTACCCAGGCGACAAATCGCTGCGGTCACCCGCTCGGGGTCCGGCAGGTCTGGGTCTGCCTCAGACCGAGTGGACGCTGTCGAGGTTCCTCCTTGGGCCCGACTGCACCGCAGCTGTCCCTCCTCCTCGACAGGCTCCAGGGCTGGGACAGTGTGTGGCTCTATTGCAAGGGGGCCTCCTTGGTGAGATGCCTCGGCGTGCAAGGTGCCCATATCTCCCATTCCAAAGGCCGCAAGGTCCAGCATGCCAGTGGGCTCCACTGTGGACGGCATGCCTGGGGCATTTGCGGGTGCGGTGTCAAAGCCGCCCATGCCAAAGGCCGCAAGGTCCAGCATGCCAGTGGGCTCTGTGGATGCCTGCGTGCCAGCGGTGCTTGGAGCTGCAGCATCAAATGCGCCGCCCATGCCAAAGGCCGCAAGGTCCAGCATGCCAGTGTCCTGGGGTGCACGAGCGACACTTGCCGGGGACAAGGCCGCTGCATCCCATGGGGCCTCTGCGGTGTGCTGGGGTCCAATATCTCCTGCACCTTGCCCACCGTTTCGTTCTCGCTCCCAGCCATGAACATGCGTCGCTGTCGCCTCCCTGAGGCCGGCCAGGAGGGCAGGAAGGCGCAGCGCGACGCTCCACGCCGCCCACAGCGCCGCCAGCGCCCGCTGCAGCGCGGCTTCGGCCTCGCCACCCGGCGCACCGCCCTCCAGCGCAGCAGCTCGAGCGATCAGGAGGTGGACCGCCACCCCAGGCGCCCCACAGGCAAGCAGCGCTGCCAGCGTCGTGGCGCCGTGCGCCGGCAGGGGCCCATGCCTGGCCGCTATCGTCCTGGAGTGATTGCAAGGATGAGGGGAGCAGGGTCGGTCCACCGGTAGACGGCCCAAGCAGATGACAAGGCCGGCCAATCACGTTTTGCGCTTCAAATCCCCCGCAAGACTACCCTCTTCTTCACCTCGCCAAGCCGTGGAATCCCAAATCAGGGCCTGCCGCGTCCAGGAGAACGACGGAGGACCCGACGGCGGCGGCCAGGGCGCCGGGGCCCGCCGGGGTCAGGCATGCCAGCGCGCCTCCCTGCTGGCCCAGGTCCAGCCGCGCTGAGGGTGCCCACCTTCCGCCAGGCTGCTGGCAGTACAGCAGCGCATCGGCACCCAGCACCACTGCCAGGGCCGGTGCCACGGCATGCGGCACCCAGGCCAAGGAGGCCGCTGTTGTAACTCCGTCTCGCGCAAGGGGCGGCAGCGTCTGGACGGCGGCGTGCCTGCCGCGCCAGACGTGCAGCAGCAACGTGGGGGGGTCGGCAGCTTTCTTTCCAGCAGAGGCATCCGCGAGTGGTGTAGAGTCTGCCAGCGCGGGACCGCCCGTGAGGGCCGCCACCAGGCCACAGGCCCCCGCCGCCGCCACCAGCACGGTTGCTTCGTCGGGGAGCGCATACAGCCCCGCCGGCACCAGTTCCGCCCCGCTCTCGCCGTCGCGCTCGACCGCGCGCCAGGCGCGCAGCGCTCCCCGCTCGGCGCTCAGCAGCAGATCCAAACCTGCGCCCAGCACTCGCACATGCTCCGCCCCGCCCCAGGCCCCTTCAGCGCAGCCCGTCAGCGAGCGCTCTTTCCCCCAGCGCAGCGTCCAGGCCAGGCGTGGGCCGGCCCGATCCTGCGCCGCGGTTTCCAGCAGCAGGAGCGCCGCCCCACGGTCCCCGCCCGCCACCGCAATCGCGTGCAGGGCCACAGCCCGCGTTCCGGGCGGCAGGGCCTCCACGAGCGCGTCCCCGGTCCCGCCCACGACCACCAGGTCGCCCGTCGTCGCCAGCGCCAGCGCGGCGTCCTGCGTCCGCCAGCGGCGCCGCAAGGGCCGAGAACGCGTGTCGCCATCGGAGGCGGGCCCTCGGTAGGAGCGCGCCCCCGCGTCTGCGCCGGGTGCCGCGCCCGCCGCCCGCCCGACACCCTCCCCGTTGCGCCGTCCATGGTGCCCGAGACTCACCAGTGACATCGCCAGCACTGTCACGCCTGGCGGCACGAGGCTGGCGCTGCCCGGGGCTGGAAACAGGCAGCGCGCCGCCCCCGCGCCCCGCCTGCCGGCTTCCCACAGCAGGAGGCCACCGCCGGAGTCCAGGCTGCCCAGCTGGCCGCCGTAGGGGCTCCCTGCGATGTCTATGACTGGAGTCGCATGCCCCGTGGCGGCGCCGCGCCAGGCGCTCAGCAGGGTCAGAGCGGGCGGAAGCCCTGCGGTGCGGGGGGTGGGCCTAGGCCGGAAGAAGGTGCCGGGCTCCTGGACGGCGGCCGGGACCGTGGCGAAGCGGCTGCAGTCAATCCTGACCTGGCAGTAGAGGGGGGGAAAGCGGAGGTTCAGGCCTGGCTCTGGAGGGACTCGGCGAGCCCGGGCACAAGCAGAGGCCAGGAGGTCTCAACTTGTAACAGCAAACCTGCCAGAGGCCGACTCCTTCCAGGTGCACACCCAACCACCCCGAATCCCAGCCCTTGCCTCTGGCCGCGGCACGGCAGGTGGGGCGGCTGCTGCCGACTCCAGCACCAGGATCGTGCTGGACCCCTCCCGCGCCTCCAGGCGGCACGTCAGACTTGGAGGGCTGTCCATGTGGTGCGCCCCCCTCGGCCTCCGCTGCTCCAGCTGGCCCCAGAGCACCGCCTGCGCGGAGGTGACGGCGCCCGGGCCGGCACTGCTGGGACCCTCCTCGGCGCGCCAGGAAGAAACCACGACCGCCTGCAGCGCGCGCACGACGTGCACCCGCGTCAGCGTGGATATGTGGGGTGCGGTTCCAGCCGGCTCCATCCCGGGCGGGCCCTCAGCTGCGCGGCAGCGGGACACCAGCCACAGCAGGTCGTCGTCGGGCGGGGCGCGGCGCGGCGTCAGGTCGCCGGCGTCGTGCGTCGCGCCTGGGCCCGATCCTTTGTCACCCTCCTCTTCCTCACGCTCCTCCTCAGCCCAGGCGGCGCGCAGGCTGCCGGGGTAAAAGCCCTGGGCGGGGCCCTGGATGACCATGGCCATGCAGAAGAAGGAGTCCAACTGCGGCTGCTGGGTCGGGTCAGCGGCAGGCTGCACCAGCGCCATCTCCACCCACAGCCGCACATCCCCGTCTGTGTGGAGAGGACAGGGTGCAGTGGCGTGGTAGGCAAGGGAGCATCGTGGCACGGGCAAAGACTGAGTGGGCAGGATCCTTACCGTGCGAATGCATGATGATCCAGAGCAGGTTTCAGTGCCCCCACACATTCGCCCCTGGGTCTGCACTGACCCAGCACAGGAACGAGTCCCTCCTCCAGTACTTCACCGCCCAGCGATAACACACCATCACACCTGCGCCGACGGTGAGCAGGGCCGGGTGGTCCTTCAGCGCGCCGGGCCCCCCGCCGGCCAGGCCCGTGGCTGCGGGCTTCCGCAGCACGCGCCGGCTCCAGGCCAGGCCCAGGACGGGGCAGGGGTGGCGCAGCTTCTCGCGCCGCGCGCCCGAGCCCTGCGCGCCGGACTCTGCCGGCGGCCACCAGACGGAGACGGCCGGGTCGCGGCAGGCGGGCGCAGCCGCCGAGGCGGCGGGCGCTGCCGGCGACTGCCCCGCTGCCAGCGTGCCCTGTGCTTCCGGCGGGCGGATGGTCCAGTGCTCCGTCAGGCGGCGCGCAGGCCAGTCCAGGCGCAGCATGCTCAGCGTGCCGTCTGCCAGGCACACAAACAGACCGTCGACTCGAGCCGTCCAACTGCAGCCTGAGAGAGGGGAGGGCAGGGGCCGGCGCGCTACCACTTTGCCCGTCCTTGTCCCGGCGTGGCTCTCCCAGGGGCCAATCCCTAGGGTGCCGGCCAGGGAGACAACGACTAGTTCGCTGGCGGTGGCGGCGGCCACGAGGGCGGTGGGGCCTCCTCCCCAGCGCACCAGTACCACCGGGTCGCTGGGCGACGCGGCCACGGGTGTGACCAGCAGCGTGTGCAGGGGCACCGAGTCGCCAGATGGCCGAGCAGACTCTGGATACTTTGGAGTTGTGGACCGGTGTGCAGGAGCGGGAGGGGTCAGTCACATGGCGATCACAGGCTGGGGATCGCACCCACAAGACCCCGTCAACACCTCCCGTCACCCTCCCACCACTCCCACCTGGGCGCAGCAGAGCGCGAGGCCCCCATCGCGCGTTCCATACACGGCATAGACTTGGTTTGTTGAGCCTGGGACCGTGAACTCGTGCGTGGGGCTGGCTGGGATGCTCGGCGTCCGCGCACCGATCGCCAGTGCGTCCCACGCCATCCCGGCTCCCATATCCACCTCCTCCCCTCAGGTGAGGCCTGATGTACCACAATCACCCATTATGTTGTGAAGGCTGATCGTATGTCAAGGAGGGGTTGTGGGCTCTTGCGCCAGGGCCGTGAAGATGCGAAACCCCAATCGTTTTGCTCGTTGTGATGCCCATGCATTCGCGCGCTCAAAGTGTGTGTACCTCGGCCCTCTCACCGACACCCCCCACCCCGTCTGACATGCATGGCCCCTGCTCACTCCGGCGGCATGGTCATCCGACCTTCATTTACAGTCGGGGCCGTGTATGTCATCAACAACGCCTCGCACCTCGGCCCGAGGCTGCCGGCGGACAGAGGATTCCGTCCAACAATACTTATTGTATGCATCCCAGCGATGCCCTGCGTCCCTGCGGATATCGATGCCAAGGAGCAGCGCCCTGCAGTCAGGCGCGCCGTTGGCCCGCGCCAGGACCTACAGCTTGGTCTGGGTCTGCGTCCTGGCGGGCCCACCGTTGACCTTCATCTGTGCCATGAAGCGCACCCAGTGCTCCTGGTAGGAGGGCGCCATCAGCTCCCGGGTCAGCCTGAGGAAGGTGCAGCCCCTCAGGGGCGGCAGCTGTGATGGGGGTGGGGAACAAGATGAGGGTAATGTTTTGTTGGTTTTTTCTTAGGGGATGAGGAAGGGGTGGAGCTGCGGGGGCCGGTACCGCTGACATGCCCCTGCCATGGCAGGTCCCTCTTGAAGGATGCTGTCGGTGCAAAGCAAGCTGTAGTCGCAGCTTCCGAAACAGCTCACAGACCGAGGAACTCCACGGCCGACGTGCCTGGCCTCCAAGGGCCCCCCCCCCCAAAAAAACCCTCGCCCCTCCTCCCCTTCAATCACCTCCCTCACCCCCCTTCACACCATCCCACCTGGTACGGCGGGCCGCCCGCCCCGTCCCGCCCGCCCCCGGCTCCGCGCCCCGCGCTTTCCTCCAGCGGCGAGCCCCAGGCGCGCGAGTTGCGCACGATGCGCGCCAGCGCGGCCTCGTCCACGGAGGCCGGCATGAAGCAGGGCAGCGCATTCTCGCCCGCCAGCGGCACGCCGTGCGCAGCGGCGGCTTCGCGCACCTGTCGCAGCACGCCCTCCGGCCCGCACAGCGCCTCGGGCGGGTGCTGAGCGTCGCACATCTCCACGCAGGTCAGCGTGGCCGCTGCGCCGTGGCGCGCGCACAGCGCGCACAGCGCGGCGTACCCGTCGCGCTCCGGCGTGTTGTAGTAGCCCGCCGTCAGCTCCGCGGCGTGGCTGGGCGTCTGGTACCACCAGTGCACGCCCGCCAGCTTCAGCGACAACGCCACGCACGCGCCGCGCGGCCCGGGGCGCGCGGCAGCGGCCGTCGCGGCCGCCGTCTCCTCCCCGCCCAGGTTCTCCCCGGACACCGAGGAGCGGAGGGAGGAGAAGCTGGGCTGGTGGTGCATGCGCGGCGCCGCGGCCGCCGCGGGGGCCCCGGGCCGGCCCCAGGGCGCCGCCACCGCCGCCGCAGCCTCGGCCACCGCCGCCAGCTCGGCCGCAGAGGCCACGGAGCCGCTGCGCCCCGCCTGCCACAGCGACAGGCCGTGGGCGGAGCCACCGGGGCCGGCCAGCGCCGCGTCCGCCCCGCCCGCGGCGCCCAGGGTCTCCATGGTGCGGCTGCGCCGCAGGGCTAGCGCGGGCGCGGCCGGCGGCGCGCCCAGGCCCACGCAGTTCCAGGGCAGCCGCTGTGCGGCGGAGTCCGGGCCGGGCCGCGCGGCGGGGGGCAGCAGACGCTGCGCCGCCGACTCCTGGTCGGGCCGCGCGGCGGGGGGCAGCAGGCTGGCGCTGCCAAAGGGGCCGTTGAACCCTCCCGCGCCGCCGGGCGACGCCATGCCGGCGAAACTGACGGCGGCCATCATTCCGTCGGGGGTGCCATTTGCCGGCGGGGGCTGGGGCAGGTGGAAAGAGTGGCTGGGGGAAGCCGGGGGCGGTCCGTCGCCCTGCCACGTCGCCACAGGCCCGCCGCCTGGGTGTTGTGATGGGGGGCCCCTGCCGCGGGTGCGGGGGTTGGGGGAGCTAGAGGGAGCCGGGCTCACGGTGCCTCCGACCCCGACCGAGGTGTGGGGCGACCCCACCATCGTGTCAGAGCTGCGGGGCGAGGGGTCACCTGCAAGCCAAGGGGGGGGGGAAGGGTATGTGTAAGTAAGGGGAGGTGCAGGCATGCCTGGGACCTGTATGTTGAGCCAGACCCAGGGACGACAGGGTCAGCACGGGACAGCATGAAAGTTGTTAGACCCCGGCAATCTCTAGCACATACCCACACTTGTGCACCCTGCCGGCAGTTGGCAACCCCGGTCTGCCCCAGTACTCATTATAATGCGCACCGCTGCTTGAGCCCCCTGGGGAGTTGAACACGGAAGTCACGGCCGTGAGCATACGCTCCCCATGCTCTAGGAGGGCGTCCGAGTACCAGCCCAGGAAAAACTCGCCCTGCGGGGACTGCCAACCCCCATTCCAGGTCTGGAAAAAGCCCGTCTCCTGCATTGTGATGAGGGCATGCTGAGCTGGTGGGCAAAAAGAGCAAGACTGGATTAGGTTTGGACCCCTGGCACGCCGGCACATGAGAAGCGAGCACTGGCACGGCTACACCCCTCTCGCAGCAGCACCACCACCCAGGCCCACGGCTCCAGAGCTGCCGGCCTAGGAGCGGAATGGTCGACAGAATCACCCCCCCTCATGCGCGTTTGCACCCCCGCACGTTGAGACACTCGCACCTCTGGATGTGAATTGTAGCTCCCAGCGTTTGAAGGGCCAGAGTTCCCCCACTCCGGGTGGCCGGCGGCACCTGCGGCGCGCGCCAGGCTGGCCAAGGCCCGCCTGTCATAGCACTGGAATTCGCCGATGCCCTGCGACGAGGGGTGCAGTGGGCGCGAGTCAGGCGGCTGCCAAGATGACCAGCTGTGTGAGGCCTCTGAACGACTGCTCAACTGTCATTCAGAGAATCAAACAGGCCCTGCGGCCACAACCTCATCCGCCAACCTGATACACTGCCACACTAGCTATCCTCTCCCAGGACACCCCTTCAGTCAGCCTCCCGGCTCCCTCCTTGACTCATCATCCAGCCACACAACCCCACACCCTCGTCTCCATAACAAAGTTACCCCAACATGTGCTCACAGGAAAGCGCCAGCCGTTTGTCTCTGGGTAGGCTGGGTATCGCAGCTCTCCGCACGGACCAGACCCGACAACTACCTCCTCTATGAGCGAGCCCAGCTCGCCCATGAACTCGTCCCGGAATGCCCTTCGACAATGGTGAGGGAAGGCGTTGTGAAGATGGCTGTCCCACACCCTTGTTCTTTCTCCCTGCTTCCTCCTTGCCAAACATCAAGCAGCATCACTGGAAGGGAGCGATCGACACAAGGGCGGCCGACTGCACCCCACAGGGCACCCCGCTGAAGTCACCAAACCCCCTGCCCGCGCGTGCCCAAATCACCTCATGAAGTCAATGTAGCACTCCATGACGGAGCGACCTCGAAGCAAGCCCGGCTCCGTCTCTGCAAACCAGGAAATGTACTCCCGGTTGCGTTGCCCGGGGCTCGACTCCCGGGGCCGGTCGGTGAAGAAGATGTCAGGGTCGCTGTCGCCGACCTTGTGGACCCAGGGTGGGAGGGGCACCAGGGCGTTGTCCCCAACATTGCCCCCGCAGGCATGAAAGCTCATCACCACCTGGGGCAAGGGGGCATGCGCATTTGAGTGGGGAACGTTAAACAACCCCCCAACATCCGCAAGCAGGATCCTGTAATTTTTGTATGGCCAGCAGACCCTGCATCCTGGATCTCACCTGGAATTTTAGGCCCAGGGGCTTTATTGCGGAGAAGAGCTGGCGGTAACCACTCCAGTCATACCTCCTGGGCGACCTCTCCACGGCTCCCCACTGCCAAATGGAAGGGAGGATAGAGAGGTCAATGCTGGCCCTTCCTCAGCAAGCTTCCAGGTGCCCAGGCCAGCAGAAAACCCCCATGCATGGCTACCCACTACCTCCCCTTGGAGCCACTCACCCACACATCAACGGCCACGCCGTGGATGCCAGTGGCCGCCAGCTGGCGAATGGCGGGTAAAAACCACTTGGAGGAGGCGTAGCGAAACACGCCGTCTGCGTTCACCGTGTCAAGCGGCAGCATCACCATGACCGGCACGGAGGTGGTGGCGCAGGAGGCGGGCTCCTCCTCGCCCATGCTGACCCTGGCACTCTGAAAATTGCTGTGCGAGCCAGGTTGGCCTGCACGCAGGGTTTGTGGTGGGTGGGGAGGGTTGCCTGCACGTGTGTGCCGTCCAGTGCGGGCACGAGTGCCGGATGCAGCATGCAATCCATTGCCCTGCCCCAGACTCACCCGCCTCCCAAGCTGCCTGGGGCACCATGGGCCGAGCGCTACCTTGAAAGGGTCCGCCTGACCCCAGGGGGCGGGACGAAACCCTGCCCACTCCCTGTTTGACCTCTATGCTACGTGGATTTCTATGAAAGGCACCGAGGCGAGTGTACTGGCTGGTGGTGGGCCTGCAGGGGCTGGGCAGCATAGCCCAGCGCACCCCGGCGGAGCGCGATGCGCCAAGGGTATCGGCGCAGATCACCCTCTGGACGATCGGGATGGGAAGGAATCACGCCCTGCCTCGGCCACCATATTTTTCCATCCCTGCCTCGGGGGCGCTGGCACGCACAGCACAGCAAACTGGCACATGCCCAGGGGTCGGGGAGTACGGCGTTGCAGCTTCGCGGGATGTGCACACACCCGCGCTTTCTTAGGCCTTGACAGCTAACGATCCAGCTGCTTGGCTAGGAAATTTACTCTTGACTTACAAGACACAGCTTGGTTCAACATGAAATACAACGAAGAGAACTGTTCAGGGGCACCCTCTCTACTCCACACCCTCAATCTTGTCCTCCACATCAGTGTACCTGAAATTGAGCATGGGTGGGGTGGGGCAGTGAGGCATTGCAACAGCACATGGCAGAATGCAGGCCGACACACGCAGGTGCGCCTCGCTCAGCATCATTCACAGGTGAGCAATGCAGCTGAACCCTCCTTGCCCCCTTTACACGCCGCTCCACCCCGCGTCCTCACATCTGGCGCAGCTTCTCGATCTGGTCCTCGGATGCCTCCCAGTACCCGCGCCCATTGGCCTCCAGGAAGGTAGCCACCAGCTTGCGGAAGGAGTTGGGGTTGGCCTGCATCAACCTCGCGGCCATCTCCGGGTCGTCGATGAAGGTGTTGTTAGCCTTTGCGGGATGATTGGGGGGAGAGGAGGGTTTGGGGTTGTGAAGGAGTGACAGACACGGGATGAGCCGAAGGATGTCTGCAAGGAAGCGCAAGGGCTGCCCTAGCAGCTTTCCCACAACATGCTGTTGCAGTCTTGTGCCCAGCTCCCGTCGCAAAGGCCCTGGTCTGTATACATTGGGAGTGTCCTTCCAGCACACAAGCATGTGCCTGTGAGTTGTGCAGGCTCACTGAACTGTACCAAACCCCTCAAAATACTTTGCTCGAAAACAACTACTCCCCCCCCCCACCTCCCCCCCCTCTCACACACCTCGTCGTACACCCAGTTGTCCACGGCGCCCGCGGTGGCGGACCAGCCCATGGTGTTCGTCAGGCGCTTCTGGATCTCCCGCACACCCTCGTAACCGCTGGACAGCATGCCCTCATACCACTTGGGGTTGAGCAGCTTGGTGCGCGCGTCCAGCCTCACCGTCTCGCCCAGGGACCGGACCTGGGCGTTGGCGGTGGTGGTGTCGGCGATGAAGGCGCGCGGCTTCTGCCCGTCGCTGCGCAGGCCCTGGACCAGCTTGGTGGGGTCGGAGTCGAAGTAGTGGCTCACGTCTGTGTATTGTTGTTTTGGGGTGTGTGGGTGTGTGTGTGAAGAAATGGGGTGGTGTACTCGTGAAGTTAGGGAGGGAAGAGAAGGGAGGGGACGCAAGGAGATGGGTAGGGCAGCAGAGGAGTACCAGGACAGCAAGGGTGTCAGAGAAGAGTGTACGAGGGCTCATGGGGACCTCCTTTTCGGCTTTCGATTCACACAACCCGGCCCTCTCAACCCCCACTCGGCCCTCTCAACCCCCACCCGCCCACCACCCACCACCACCCTCACCAGTGAGCGAGATCTCGGACGAGTCCAGGTTCTGGAAGGTCACCTCCACCGTCTTCAGGGCGGAGACAAAGATGTCGCGTGACTCCTCCCCCCCCGCGCCGGGGCGGTCGGAGTTGAAGGCAAAGGACTTGCGCGACAGGTACATCTCCTGCAGCTGCTGCTCGTCGGACCAGGAAGAGTTCTCCACTGCCAGGTTGACGTTGGAGGAGTAAGAGCCGGAGCTGTTGCTGAAGACGCGGGTGGCAGAGTCGCGCAGGCTACGCCCCGTCTCCTCCGCCTGCGCCAGCGCGTGCTTGCGCACGAAGTTCATCTCCAGCGGCTCGTCTTGCTCAGCCGCCATCTTGATGGCGCGGTCCAGCAGCGCCATCTGTTTGGGGTTGGGGTGGGGAGGTGGGGTTGAGACAGGGGGATGTGTGAGGGGTTCTTGTTGTGGGAGTCGGGATGTGGATGTCGGGTCCTGGGGCGTTAGGACAGCTGGCAAGGCGCCGCAATGACACGAGCAAGGCATTCCCCTGAGGTTCCTTCCCCCCACACGCACCTGGTTGACAAAGAGGTCGCGGAAGACGCCGGAGCAGTTGACCACGACGTCGATCCGGGGCCTGCCCAAGTCCTCCAGGGACACCAGCTCCAGCTTGTTGACCCGGCCCAGCGCATCGGGGACGGGGCGCACGCCCACCATCCAGCACACCTTAGAATGGGGTGGGGAGGAAAGAAAGGGAGTGAGATGGGAGATGGGGATTGAGACTTGGGTGAAGATTGACAGGTGCGATGGAGAGGTGTGTTACTGTGATGGCGATTCATTAAGTTTAAGAATTGCAATGATCCTTCTCTATCTTTGCCCATGAGAGACCCCATTGGATCAAATCACAGTCACGCACCATCTTCTCTTTTCAATCCCCCTCCCCCCCTCCCCAACCAGTCTACCAACTGACCTGGGCCAGAGACTCGCCGTAGGTCTTGATGTTGTCGGTGCCCCACAGCACGACGGCAATGCTCTCTGGGTAGTTGCCACCCATCTCCTGACGCTGACGCTCCAGCAGGCGGTCCACCACCACCTTGGCGTTCTTCACCGCCGCTGCGGTGGGGATGCTCTGCGGGTCCAGGGCGTGGATGTTCTTGCCGGTGGGCAGCACCCCCGGGTTGCGGATGGGGTCGCCCCCCGGGCCGGGCTCCACGTACTCGCCGCGCAGCGCGGACTTCAGCGCGCCCAGCTCATTGTCCTGCACGATCTTGGCCAGGCAGCCCGCCAGGTAGTCGAACAGCGTGCGCAGCTCCTCGCGCTTGGCACGGGCGAAGGGCGTGCCCTTCAGCGGCGCCAGCCAGGCCTCGCGCTCCAGCCCAAACATGCGGCCCAGGCCGCCGCCGGTGGTGGAGCGCTTGACGCGGCCCGCGCTGTCCACCTGGCCGGAGACAAAGGCGCGCACCGCCTCGCGGCAGGTGTCGGTGATCAGCGCAAGGTCCTCCACGTCCTTGAGCACGCCACGGTTGGAGCCCGCGTACACCTCCTCGATGCTGCGACCTGCCGCCCGGGCCAGGATGCCGGGCAGGCCCCGGATCGGTGGGTCGGCATCTGATGTGAGGGGCATTGGGTTTGGGGATCAGGAGGGGTTGTGAGCTTGGTCAGAATCTGAGGGATGGGTGGCACTGGACGCAGGGTGGGTCTGAGCTCAGCAGCCAATGCTGGACCCTGGCGCCCCCCACCCGCCCTCCCTTTGACCGCTGGACCTGCGGGCACAGCCGGATTCAAGGCCCAGCACCCTCACCTGGGCGGTCCAGCTCGGCGATGTTGACCAGCGTGGCGATGGCCTCCTCGGCAGTGGGGGGGACGCCCACCACGTGCAGCCCGCAGGGCAGCAGCCGCGACTCGATCTCCATCAGCTTCTGGTACACCTTGCCTGGAGAGGTGGGAATGGGGGAGGAGGGGAGGGGATGTACGCCATCAGCCCAAACGGCTGGGATGCATGGGCACATCCAAGGGTCGATAGAGACACTACGATGCACAGTGCTCCCCAGCCACCCAGATGTTGGCATGAATGATACCATCATACTTCCAAACCAACAACCACATCACAAAGCTCTGGATTTCCACGCACCCACGACAGAGTCCCTGTCCTCCATGGTGAGGTCTCTGGCCTCGGCGTCGGGCAGCTCCACATCCTGTTGGGGCCAACAGATGATGATGATGATGTGTGTGTGTGTGTGTGAATACTGCCTCCTTGGGCTGCCAGTGAACAGTACTCCCACAAGTTGGCCCTCCCACACAACGCCACACCTTGTCGAGGTTGCACTGCCGGGCCGTCTCGATGATGCTGGCTGCGACGGCGGAGGCACGCCCCGTCTCACGCATCGACTGGTAGCTACTGATCAGCTCCTTGAGC